TCCGCCTTTTGACCAAAGATTAGACGGGCCTGTAAAACAAACAATAACACACATGAGGAACGTGCTTCTAGTTCAGTCAAGTACACGAGACCAAATGGGCAACACCTGCCCAAAAGCCAAGGCAAGAAGGCAGGAAGGGACAGGAAAACTGGACGAATGGACACAGGGAACCCGGGGTGGAAAGGAGGAGAGTGCCGACATATTGTAGGGATTGCAACCAATGTCACAAAACAATTTGTGTATAAATGTTTTTAATAAGAAACTAAATTTGCACTGTAAAAAAAATTATTTGAATTTTTGCCCCTAAATCTTAAACTCAAAACAAAAGGTTGTTTGCCTAATGAATTCCCCAAATCCTTCGCGTGCCCCTTGCCCTCATACTGCACTTGGTTTCACACATAAACAAAGGAGGGGATTATCTGTTGACTTTCTATCTTTTTATTGAAGACGAGGGTTTCCTTCTCTCACAACCACCTTCTCCCCCAAACACACAGATAGAGTCAGAAAGTGACTGAGAGGAGAAATGTAAAATAAAATTGTCTATTCTCCAGTCTCAATTAAAAGAGACAAATGAACAAGCAGTCTTGAACAGAGAGAAAACGGTGATTTGGACCTAAAAATATTCTGCTCATTTGTGAGCTTTGCTCTAAATTGCTTTTCTCTGTACTAACAACAACAAAAAATCTGGAGATAAAGAATATTTACGACCCAGTGAGCTAAACAAGCAGCCTTATCACCTGACCAATCATCTTGAAGGCAAGTTTCCAAGTAAGATTAAATTTAACTGTGCTTTGCTCTTATCATAAGCTATAGCAAAAACAAAAAACAAAGCCATTGCCGTCAAGTCGATTCCAACTCATAGCAACCCCATAGGACAGAGTAGAACTGCCCCATAGAGTTTCCGAGGAGCGCCTGGTGGATTCGAACTGCCGACCTTTTGGTTAGCAGCCATAGCTCTTAACCTTTACACCATCAGTGTTTCCATAAGCTATAGGGGTTCTCTTTCTGGTGCTTCCCTGACATTCAATATAAGGATATAAGCACTCTCGTCATATGTTTTACTTAAGAGTCTGCTTTACCTAGCCCGTGTTAAGGATTGCATTAACTCCAATAGATTGTAAAACATGCTTTGGAGAATTCCACGAAGTCATAAACGATTGCATAAAATAATGCTAGCTCACAAACTGTACCTGGTAGTAATCACTTGAGTCATGGTAGACGGTCAAGACACAAGTAACTAAACATAGTGCTTCTAAGAGGATTTATTCAGAATGCAAAATCCCGTTCATCCCTATGCTTTCCCTTACCCCCTACTATTTAATTATATTTTTCATTAATCATAACTCAGTGTTAAAAAAAAAACAGGATTATTATTACTGTATTATTATGTTAAAGATATTTTAGTATATCTGGAAGTGTTTCTTTACTGTGTTCCTTTGATGTCTTTTTTACACATAGAAAGTTATGCTATATACTATATACTAAGACAAACATTTGACTAAGTGACGTGAGATACCAACAGGCGCTGTGTGCAGGAAGCTGTTGCATTCCCTACATCTGGTTATGTCCGAGAGCTCCCACTTTCCGATAGGGATTTCTGAATTTATGGGACCACGGACGTACATGTGGTTGAACGTTGCCCAAATGGGTGTTATGCAATGCATGACTGTATATATATATATATACAGTCATGCATATATACATATATATATACCTACAGTCATGCATATATATGTATACAGTTATGCATATATATACAGCCATGCATATAAGGTCATGCATATATATATAGTCATGCATATATATAAGTCATGCATATATACATACAGTCATGTATGTGTGTGTGTATAGATATATATGTGTGTGTGTGTATATATATATATCTATACACACACACACGCACACACACACACACACATATATGTAACAAAGTACTAAACCAGCAACGGCCTGCAAATGTGTAAGTGGTAAGTGCCTTAAAAAATCCACTATCAGAAGCGAAGAAATTATTGTACACACATCTTAATACCTTAGCACAACACTACCAGTGGAACTTCCTGTGATGGCAGATTTCATGTTCTATATCGGTGCTGTCCAGTACAATGGCCACACGTGGCTACTGAGGACTTGAAACATGGCTAGTGCAACTGAGAAACTGTTTTTTTAATTATTGTTATTATTTCATTTTAATTAATTGAATTTTAAATTTAAATAGCCACAAGGAAGGAAAAAATTGCATTAATTAAGGGTAGGGTTGCACAGCCAATTAACGTAATTACTGTCAATAAGCTGTACACCTGTAAAAAGTTGAATTGGCAAAAGCTGTGTGACAGATATATTCAAAACAATGACAAAGAAAGGAAAACAGTAGCTCCTGAGGCTGCTTATATACAACCAAACACCTCATGGGATTTGGTTTCTTGGTTTGGAGGTTTAGGGTCATGGTTTCATGGGACATCCCAGGTAATTGGCCTAATAATGTGTTTAGTGCTTCTATTCTACCTCCTAGTTCGCTGTGCGGTGCCTGGGGTCTTAGAAGCTTGTAAGTGGCCATCCAAGGCACAACAACTGGTCTCTATTCGACTGGAGCAACAGAGGAAGAAGGAGAATCATGAAAAGGAGGAGGATATGGAATGTGTGGCTAATTGCCTCCGTGAACAACTGTCTCCTTTGCCATGAGACCAGAAGAACTAGGATGGTGCCTGGCTACCATAACTGAACACTTTGATCAAAGATTACATAGAAGATTCCTGATCAAAAGGGGTAACATTCAAAACAGAATTTTAAATTTTCATGGAATCCAGCTTTTCTGGAGCCATGGAGCCTGGATGAACCCCTGAAACAATTGCCCTAAGATAATCTTTAAACCTTAAATCAAAAATACCCCTGAAGTCTTCTTAAAACCAAACAACAGTTTAGCTAAACTAGTAAAGAATGTCTGCCTTGAGCATTTTACCCTGTTGAGATCTATCTATATGGGATCAAATTGACAATACCCCTGAAGTCTTCTTAAAACCAGACAATAGTTTAGCTAAACTAGTAAAGAATGTCTGCCTTGAGCATTTTACCCTTTTAAGATCTATCTGTGTGGGATCAAATTGACAACAGCAACTGGAAAGATCAGATAGGAACCTTAGGGGGCAGTGAGTTTATATTAATGGGGGAGGAACAACTCAGAAAACGAGCGTGAGAATGCTGGCACCACTCGAAGGATGTAATCAATGTCACTGAACTGTACACGTAGAAACTTGAATTGGTGTACATTTTTGCTGTGCATATTCTCAACAACCATAAAATTAAGAAAAAAATTAAATAGCCACAGGCTGGTTAGAGATAGCACAGCTTTACAACTAAAAGTTAAAATAAAATTTAAAAGCTCTTTTGAGAGAAAAAAATTATAGTCAACATACCAGTGTACTGTTTATTACCTTATTACCTACTCTGTGCCCAGTACTGTTTATTGCTGCCTTTTTACCTACTCTGTTCCCAGTACTGTTTATTATCCTCTTACCTTCTCTATGCTGAGTACTGTTTATTACCTTTTTACCTACTCTGTGCCCAGTACTGTTTATTGCTGCCTTTTTACCTACTCTGTGCTGAGTTCTGTTTATTATCCTCTTACCTCCTCTGTGCTGAGTACTGTTTATTACCTTTTTACCTACTCTGTGCCCAGTACTATTTAATAGCTTATTACATACTCTGCCAAGTACTGTTTATTGCCTTTTTACCTAACCTGTGCCAAGTACTGTTTATTACTCTATTACCTACTCTGTGCCCAGTACTGTTTATTACAGCCTTTTTACCTACTCTGTGCTGAGTACTGATTATTACCTTATTACCTACTCTGTGCCAACTACTGTTAATTATAGCCTTTTTACCTACTCTGTGCTGAGTACTGTTTATTATTGCCTTTTTACCTACTGTGCTGAGTACTGCTTATTACCTTTTTATCTACTCTGGTCCAGTACTGTTTAATACCTCATTACGTACTCTGCAGAGTACTGCTTATTATCTTTTTACCTACCCTGTGCCAAGTACTGCTTATTACCCTATTACCTACTCTGTGCTAAGTACTGTTTATTACCTTATTACCTACTCTGTGCCAAGCACTGTTTATTGCCTTTTTACCTACTCTGTGCCAAGTACTGTCTATTACCCTGTTACCTACTGTCATGGATTGAGTTGTGTCCCCAAAAAATATCTGTCAACTTGGCTGGGTCATGATTCCCAGTACTGTGTGATTGTCTACCATTTTGTAATCTGATGTGATCTCCCTATATGTTGTAAATCCTATCACTATGATGTAGTAAGATGGATTAGCAGCAGTTATATTGATGAAGTCTACAAGATTAGATAGTGTCTTAAGCCAATCTCTTTTGAGATATAAAAGAGAGAAGCGAGCAGAGACACATGGGGACCTCACACCACCAAGAAAGCAGTGCCGGGCGCAGAGTGTGTCCTTTGGATCTGAGGTTCCCGTGCTGGGATGTTCCCAGACCAAGGGAAGACTGATGCATCACGAGGACCTTCCTCCAGAGCCAACAGAGAGAGAAAGCTAGGTGCCCTGAATTTGGACTTCTAGCCTACTGAACTGTGAGAGAATAAACTTCTCTTTGTTAAAGCCATTACTTGTGGTATTTCTGTTATAGCAGCACTAGATGACTAAGACATCTACTCTGTGCTGAGTACTGTTTATTACCTTATTGCCTACTCTGTGCTGAGTACTGCTTATTACCTTATTACCTTACATGAGCCATCTCACCGAATCATCTCAAAAACCCCATTTTATTGATGAGGAAACTGAGTCTCAGAAAAGGGTGTAGGCAACTTCTCCCTGGTTATGATAGGGAGGACTGGCTGTGCTAGGATTGAAACTAGGTGTCTGCAACTCCAAGATAGTCTCCCATCCCCCTTCACTCATACCCTCCCCATCCCAGCCTCCACTCCTCCCACCCTGGCCCTGGCAAGCCCTCATCTCACCTCCGGCTGGACAGTGCCTGCTACCTTTTCTTGATTGCCTCATTGATACTGTTCACAATTTTCTGCAGCCTGGCGTCATCCACAAAACCATCACCTTTCTGGGCACAGAGGGCAAGAGTACAGACTTGTCTACCCCATCCCCCCAGAGCCCCAGTCCCACCCTCCTTCCCTGTCTGGGACCCTTGCTCAGAATCACCTTCTTCGAATGGACCAGTTTCCCGTCCACAAACACTTCAAACTCCCCCGTAGCCTGGGAAGAAATGTCCTCCTCCTGGGAATGGAAGGTTGGGGGCTGGGTGAGGCCCCCCTTCCCGCCCTACTTGGGGGTCTCCAAGCCCTGACCACCTCCCGCCCCCAGGCCACCAGCACACTTACAAAGAGTAGACGATTTGGAAATTGCTGCTCCAGATTCTTTCTCAGTAGAATGTACTGCAGAACAATGAGGAGATGGGGTCATGGGTCATAGATCATGGGGTCATGGGGTCACGGGAGAGAGGAAATAAGAACTCTTCCCAGGCTTCATACCCCACATTCCCCCCACCCTTAAAGCCAAAACTACTCACCCGAAGGCCATAGCTTCAGAGGCCACTGGAGACAGAGGGCAAGAGGAAGGTGGCCGAGAGGAAGGGAAGACACAAGATACAAGTCAGGGCTCTCCCGTGGCTCCACCTCACTCAGGGGAAGACCATAGTCCTCCTGTGGCCCACAAGGCCCCACACAATCTGCCCCATCACCTCCCTGCCCTCACTTCCTCCCACTCTCTCCCTGGCTCACCCTGCTCCAGCCACAGGGACCTCCTAGGTCTTCTTCCAACACTCCAGGCACTCCCTGCCTCAGGGCCTTTGCACTGGCTGTTCCCTCTGCTGAATGCCCTTCCCCTAGTCTCTGCACAGCTCCTTCCCTCCCATCCTTTGCTCAGTGAGGCCTTTCCTGAACCCCCTAGAGAAAATTGTAACCCCTTCAAGATGCCTTTTGTCCATAGCACCGATCACCTCCTAATATACTAGATAATTTGCGATTTGTCCCCTTTTTTTTTTTCAGTTGTGATTTAGGTGAAAGTTTACAGAGCAAATCAGTTTCTTATTAAACAGTTAATACACAAATTGTTCTGTGACATTGGTTGCCAACCCTGTGACGTGTCGACGCTTTCCCCTTCCCTTCTCCACCCTGGGTTCCTTTTTCCATTCTTTCAGCTTTCCTGTCCCTTCCTGCCTTCTTGCCTTTGCTTTTGGGCTGACGTGCCCATTAGTCTCGTATACATGATTGAACTATGAAGTACGTCCCTCACATGTGTTACTGTTGGCCCTATAGACCTGTCTAATCTTTGGCTGAAGGGTGAACCTCGGGAGTGACTTTAGAACGGAGTTAAAAGGGTGTCCGGGGTTCTTTATTGTTTTTTGCCCGCCCTCCAAACCAGAATGCCAGCACCATGAACAAGGGCAGGGATCTTTATCTTTTCGCTGCTGTGTCCCCAGCGCCTGGCCCATGGTAGGCCTGTCGAATGAATGAATTAATGAATTCATGGAGACAGACAAAGAGATAGAGAGAAAGCAGGAGATGGGCGAGAAAGAGAGAGGGGGAGATGAGGAGAGAGATAGGAAGAAGGAGAAAGAGACAGACACACAAGGCGGGAAAATGAAGACAAGGAGCGAGTTGGGGAGAGACAGGGAAGGCTGGTAAGACGCGCAGGGCAGAGATGGCAGACAGAAAATGTGAGACAAGGAGAGGGACAGGGTGCGGAGACCCTTCTGCCGGTGGCCAAATTCAGCCCTGAGTCGCAGGGAGGTCAAGGAAGGTCAGTGTTACTGTTGCTGTTACCACAACCCAAGAGGCTCTTCGTTTAGCAGGCTCCCTCCCGTCACTCAGTGTACAGCTCAAGTGCTGCCTCCTTAGAAAGGCTATCCCTGACACCCAGCCTGAAGCCCCTTCCTCCTCCCACAGAGCACCCGTCTGCATTCACACTAACAGTATGCTGACTTTGTGTCCTGGCGCCTCTCCTCCAGAGTCGCGCATGCGGCCCTGCTCAGCCAACACAGGACTGACTGACTGAATGAATCGATGACAGTGAATGGATAAAGTGCGGAGCCAGAAGTAACACTGCTGGCGCAGGGCAGGGATTTGAGCCCAGATCTCTGGAACCCCACAGAGAATGACAGGGAAAGTCAAGTTTCCAACCTGGCAGTTGGGACCCTCCCCTCGCCTTTTGGAGCCCTAGGGGTGTACTTGTTAAGGAGCTTGGCTGCTAACCAAAAGGTTGGCAGTTCGAATCCTCCAGCCGCTCCTTGGGGAGGAAGGGAGGTGTGGGTGGGGCCGGCCCTCACCAGTAGATCACTCGAATAAGGACTCTGTTGTCCATTTGGACGTTCTCGCTGGTGGAGGCGAGCGCGTCGTTAGAAACCGGTACACAGATGGCTGACAGCTTGGTCTCCAGCATAGGCGCTGGGATACGCCCGGGGATGGAATCCGTCAATTTGGTGGCCGATGTGTCTACCGTCGGGATGGTCCCGAAGGCGGACCCCAGTATCTCAGTGGCTGATGGAGTGAGCGGCGGATGGGGACCCTCGGCGAGCTCAGATAGGCTGGTGACCGATGGGACGGCCTTCAGACTCGACGATCGCGCAGGCTCCTTAGCGGGCGACAAAGTTGGCTCCGCAGCCGGCTCTGGGGGTGAATCCAGTAACAGGGGCGGGGTCGGGAAGGATCCTGGGGCGGGAAACTCAGCCGGGATCGGGGCGGGGGGAGCGGCCGGGACCGGAGTCGGGGCCTGGATCGGAGGCAAAGACCGGACCGGAGTCGGGGCCTGGACCGAGGTCGGGGCCTGGACCGGTGTCGGGGCCTGGACCGGAGTCGGGGCCTGGACTGGGGTTGGGGTCTGGACCGGGGTCTGGACCGGGGTCGGGGCCTGGACCGGTGTCGGGGCCTGGACCGGAGTCGGGGCCTGGACTGGGGTTGGGGTCTGGACCGGGGTCTGGACCGGGGTCGGGGCCTGGACCGGTGTCGGGGCCTGGACCCGAGTCGGGGCCTGGACTGGGGTTGGGGTCTGGACAGGGGTCTGGACCGGGGTCTGGACCGGAGTCGGGTCCTGGACCGGGGTCGGGGCCTGGACCGGGGTCGGGGTCTGGACTGGGGTCGGGGTCCGGACCGGAGTCGCGGCCCGGACTTGAGTCGTGGCCAGAACCGGAGTTGGGACCCGGACCGGAGGCAAAGACCGGACCGGAGTCGGGGCCTGGGCCGGGGTCGGGACCTGGGCCTGGGTCGGGGTCCGGACAGGGGTCGGGGTCCGGACCGGGGTCGGGGTCCGGACCGGGGTCGGGGCCCGCATAGGGATCGAGGCCCGGCCCAGAGTTGGAGCCCGGACAGGGGTCGGGGTCCTGACTGGGGAAGGGGCTGGGGCCCGCGCCTGGTTGTTCATGGGGGGGCCAGTGGGGGCCGAGGTATCCAGGGTTGGGATTCCCGCCCCGCCCTCCTCCCTGGGGCGGGGAGCGCACACCCGCACCAGGGTTCTGAAACGGAACGTGGCCACAGGGGGCACTGTTACACCGCGTTCACTCGGAGCAGACGGTCAAGGGATGAGGCCGGACCCTAAGTCTTGCCTAATAACTCCCACTCCTTAACTGCCACTACCGGGTAGGAAACACCCACGCGGTCCCAGTGTCTTCCGCAGCCGTCATTAACATTCATGTATCCAGAATACGTTTCTTGAGTGCCCGGTCCCGTGCTGGGTGATTATGGGACAAAGGTGTCAGAAAATCCCTGGTTCCTGCCTTCACCAGGCTCCCTGATAGGGGACGCGCTGGCAGAGGAGTCTGGGCTGGGAGGGGCGCAAGTATTGAGCTGTGGGAGACTAGAGGAGACACTAGACTTAGTCGGTGGCAATCAGAGAGGGCTTCGTAGAAGAGGGGACAACTGAGAGAGCTGGAAAATAAGAGCAACAGCAACAATAGAGAATCAACATTTATATAGCGTGAAGTGCTACACACTTGCCCGCAGTAGTTAGTAGAAGAGCTGGGATTCGAACTCAAGCTGTCAGACTCCAGCGTTCTAGCCCATCACCACCCTGAGGAGGACTCGATCAAACTGTGACCTCGTCACAGGCGAGAACTTGGCTGTTTCATTCGCTGCTGTATCTGCAGCTCCTAGAACAAGGCTTGGCACACAGTAGGAGCTTAATAAATTGGAGTGAATGAAAGTGTCAAGAAAAAGGCATTGACTAAGGAGAGCTGAAGGCAGAGGAAAAACGCTGGCTTGTTCAAAGGGCTGAGAGAACCCGGGCAGCCACACGTGCGCGCGCGCGCGCATACACACACGATCTTTTTTTTTACATATATATGTTTAAAAAAAAAAAGTCTATTTTGATTCATGGCGACCCCATGTGCTCCATGTGGTTTTCAATGGCTATAATCTTACGGAAGTAGATCTAGATCCCCAGGTCTTTCTTCTGAGGTACCACTGGATGGATTTGAACTGCCAACTTTTTGGCTAGCAGCAAAGTGCGTTAACGGTTTTCACCACCCAGGGGACTCCTGGTAACAAACCTGATTTTCAGGGGAGTAAGTGTGGGAGACGGCCCCCTTTGCCATCCTATTCCATAGCATTTCAGCAGGCTGCCCCTACTTGCGGATACACAGTGAGCACCTGACTAAGCCTGACCAATCAAAAGTAAACCAAACCCCCTTGGTGATTGGTTCAGACATGGCCATGTGACAAGCCAGGGCCAATGAGAGCCTGCCTACATATGAAATCATCCCACGAGAAACAGCCAACTGGAGAAAGACACTGTGTCACACAATCCGTTTGAAGATACAACCTTCCGCAGGGTTTTCGTTTTTTTCTTTCAACTAGTTTTGAGTTGTTTCTCCCCCCTGCTACAGTTAGAGTGCTATCTATGATGCTTTTAAAGCACAAAATTTCTCCCCTTAGCCCCAATGCCAAGTACAATCAGACGGACGAGTCATAGTTGATCAAAATACAAGCGTTTATAGATGTCTCTGGAGAGATGGGGAGAGAAAAAATAATAGGATATAAATAACCATTATGTACAATTTCCAGCGGTAAAGTTCTCCCCGCTACCCCTCCCAACGTGAACTCCGAAGTGTCTGGGACAGAGATTTGGCACCACCAACTAAATAGAAAAATATCCAGGATCTGTCTCTAGGCAATGATGGTGAAGGGGCAGGTCAGGCCTAGAAACAAAATGAGTAGGAGGTATTAGAAAGGGCTGCCCTCGGCCTCTTCTCCCTCTCCCCAGTAACTGGAAATCAAGTTAAGGGGTTCTGGCCGAGGAACCCCACTGTAACCTCTTGAAGCCGTAAGTCGTCCAAAGAGAAGCTGGGCAACAGCTCAAAACGACAGCAAGAGGGATGTAGGATAGATTTATATTAACTCAGAACTGGTAATTGGTTTTAAGAACCTTCAAGAGATTCTCATTCTACACAGAGAAAAAGGCTTAGAGATAAAGCCGGGACTGCCCCCACCGGGTGTGCCCAATCTGTGTAGAGGAGGTGGACAGGGACAACTACCTCCTGAGCATAGATTGAAGGAGCAGATATGACATAAATCGCTCGAGAGTCTCCATCTTCCGGGCGACTCCAATCAGTGGACAGGCTGCAGGTGAAAAGAAAGGAAGGAAAGATGCAAACCCCTTAATTCTCAGATCTTGTTCTCCCACTCACCACCGAGGGAAATCTGAAGCCAACCAGAATTGTGGAATGAACCAATCAGAAAAGCGAGAGAGCACGGGGGGAGGGGTCAACAGGAATGGGCCAATCAGGAAGGTTATTCAAGAAATCAGGCCAATTGTCCTATGGAGATCGATGCAAGCAGCCAATGAGAACATGGCATACAGCTGTAGCCCGGCCCCTCACCTCGGGCCATCTCCGGAATCCTCTCGCGTACGCATGTTGTTGAGAGCATCAGGGAGGGCGTGGATCGGTGGCTCCGGGGTCCCTGCCAACAGGCGAGACCCAGTATCCCGGCCAGGGTCACGGCGTCGCAAGTGGACCAGCAAGAACGCAGCGCCGGCCAAGCTCGCGGCCACCAACAAGCCCAAAGCCAGCGGCAAAAGGAAGCGCTGGGGGTCCCCCTGGCTCGGGCCTGGTGAGGCCGCGGAAAGTGCGCCTGCGCGGTCATCCGCACCGTCGGGGTGAACCGGGAACTCACACCGCGCGCCCATGTAGCCGGGCGCGCAGGCGCAGACGAGGCCGGAGAAGTGGGCGTAGCAGCGGCCGCCGTGAGCACAGGGGCGCGCGGCGCAGGGGTCGGCGCGCTCCCGGCAGTCGCGGCCGCCGAAGCCCAGGGCGCAGGAGCAGCGGCGCGCGCCACCGCCCTCCAAGCACGTGCCGCCATTAGCACAGGCGCGGCCGGCGCAGTCGTCCAGGTCGTGCTCGCAGCGTGGACCCGCGAAGCCTGCGCGGCAGCGGCAACGCAGGGCATAGCCCAGGTCCAGGCAGAGCCCGCCTGTGAGGAAGGGGGTGTCAGGGGGCGCAGCCGTGGGAAGGGAACCCTCCCAAGCGCGCCGCGCTCTTCTCCTATTTCCCGCGTTTGTAATCCCCGCCCTCATCTTTCTCTAACGACCACCCTCTGTCTCTGTCTAGCTCAAGGGCTGGCCTCTTGGAGTTTGCCCAGGCGGTCTATCTGCCTGCAACGCCAGCCCGCTTCCTTTTCTACCTGGTGACGTCTTGGGTTAGCTCAGCCTTCCCTTTTTGGCTCTCTCTGTCTTCTTTTTTCTCGGCTTCAGCCACACATATTAACAGTTCCAGAACTACGTGTGGTCCTCTTGCTCACTGCGGCGCTCAGGGACCCCACCCCACCCCGCACCGTTCCAGCCTCCCCGCCTCACCATTCCGGCACGGCTGCAGGCTGCACCGATCTACCCTCTTCTCGCAGTTGGAGCCCTGGAAGCCGGGCGGGCAGTGGCAGACGTAGGCAGAGTCGGGGTCTGCGCCCCCTACACACAAGCCGCCGTTGAAGCAGGGTCCATCCGCGCATGTCACCCCGCTCACCTCACACCGCAGCCCGTAGAACCCACGGGGGCAGGTGCACTCGAAGGAGCCTGATGTTTCCTGGGCAGGGGCAAGAAGGCTTGGGGCGGGCGCTCTCTTTGGAGCAAAATCCCATGCCCCTCCTCAGAGTCTTAACTATGGGGTCGGCTCTTTTTCCAGTCTCAGCCCTCAGCATGCAGGAGCCTCCTGTGGGAAGCCCTCCCTAGACAACCCCTCGCTGCTCTCCATGTTTCTGTGTCTACCCGTGTAACCGCACAGAAAAGAGGCCCAGAGGCATCCAGTTGCCACCTCTACCCCTCTGCCTACCACGTGCTGCCTGCCTGGTCTGCCCTCCCGATTCCGTCCTCATAGCTGCCTTCTGATCTGGTCTCCCCAGTCCCCACAACTTCAACCCTGAGTGTGTCTCACTGTCCCACGGTGGCGGTATCCCCGTGGCCTACACTGGTCTCTCCCTTACCCCGACAGGCACGGGGCTCATCCCCACCTCCACAATTTTGCTCACCCAGTGCTGCTCACTTAGTCTACCCTCACGTGGTACGCCCCTCGGCCAAGTTGTACTTCAAAAGCCCCACCCCGTCCCACCCCCTCCAGAAAGCCTCCTCTTATGTTCCGCCTCTCCCCCGAGATCCCAAATCCCCATCCCACCTGGCCCCACCATCCCCTCCCTTGGGCCCTCAGTTCTCTATCCTCATCATTCCCACCTCCACACCTTTAGGTACTGCCCTCCCCAGTCCCAGCCCCATCACCTAGTCCACCTTCAAGGTCCACCCCAGATGCAGGCTGGACACCTCCAGGAAGCCCTCCCTAACAGCCACCCCCGGCTCTCCACCCTAGCTGGTGTCACATGGAGAGGGAGGTGGAAACTCCCAGAGAGTAGGAACCAGGATGAGGTGGCGGTGGGTGATACTGACACTACAGCTGCCCCCGTTGGCACATGGGTTCCCGTCACAGGGCCCAGGCCCGGGTATGAGGCATCCAGCTGTGGCAGAGGATGGGCCCCTGGGGCTGAGGCAGCTGCTGGTGGAGACCGGGACCGTGCAGAGGGGCCCAGCCCATCCCTCCAGGCATCGACATTCATCGGGCTGTTCGCAGAAGCCATGCTCTGGGCTGCAGCCAGCTCGGCATGCCACTGTGGGGGACAGAGAGGCAGAAGGAAGAGGGACATAGATGTCGGGGAAGGCCAGGGTCAAGGGGATGGGAATCGGAGAGAGGTTCCTGAGGGCTCTCCATGTTTCATCCTTGTGACGACCCTCTGGACTAGATGGTATTGTGTGCCCCAGGTTACAGACAGGGAAACTGAGGCCCAGAGTGGTGAGGTGACTCACCCAGATATGAAGTGGAGGACCAAGGATCTTAACCCCGGGCCATCGGGTGCCAGAGTCTGTGCTCTGGGAAGGAGGATGGAGAGGGGACTCCCAGCTCTAGGCTTGGAGAGAGGAGAATGTGGGAGGAGGGATTTATGACTGGGAAAGGCCCCTGGCCTTTCAGGAAGATGTGAGGGTTTGGGTTAGTCTGGAAGTTCCTAGGGGTCTCCATAGAGCTCTGAAATTTGGAAAGAGGCCTGAGAGGATCCAGGGTTAGTTGCGGGTTCCCAGGCTTTAAAAAGCAAGGGGATCTGGCCTGCAATAGCAGGCAGAGAGGAGGGAGGATACCTTGGGAAGTCTGAGAAGAGTTTCTAAACTCCTAGGTGGAGGTACGGAGGCCCCAGAATTAAAAGAGCTGTGGGTGTCCTCACATCTAGAAGGGGTGTGGGTATAGGAAATGGGTGTTGGGGTCCTATTTGGGGCTGACGAGTTCTGGGAAGACAGAAGGGGGCTGGGGTACCCAGGCAGGGCTAGTGAGAGACCTGGGGTCCTCAGTTTCCCCAAAGGTGGTAGTTGGAAGCTGGATGGGGGGGCTGGGTTTATGGGCAGGGATCGGCAGGAGTCCTCACTTCCTTGGAGAGGGGTGTCTGGAGTACCTGGGAGGATTCTGGGGTCCCGAGTTACCTGAAGACGGTAGCTGGGTTGTGAGAGGAGATTGGGGGAGCATGAAGGTAACTAAGGAGGGACGGGGTCCCAGGTGGGATGAGGTGGGGTTGAAGGGAGGACTCACGTGGTACCGCGCACTCGTCCTCCGCAGGAGCGCAGGGGCGCTGTCCCGGGCTGCACCGCGAGGGGGCGCTGCGCGAACGGCAGAGGCGCGTGCACGCGGCCCCGACGGCGGGCGGCTCGCAGCGCGCGCGGTACGAGAAGCGCAGCTCCCAGCCGCCTGCGCGCTGCACTTCCCTGGCCCACGGGCCCCCGGCCGCCAGGCGCCACCGTCCGGCCACACGCGACAGCAAGCTCCAGCCTGGTCCTGCAAGGACAAGGGAGCGGCGCTGGGAGAGACCTTATCGGACGGCGGCAGGACCCAGGTCTCGCGATAGAGACCGACAGCGCTTGCTTGCACTCAACGGGCCCCAATTAACAAAAACCAAACCCATTGCCTTCGAGGGGTTTCCGACTCATAGCGACCCTATAGCAGGCCAAAACAACCTTTATCCAGTCTTGGGGTCCTTCGACACCGCGAGAGCCGCAGTTACCCGCTTAGCAAGGCTATAAACTCCCGGGAAATTTTAATCTCACGATCCCAACTAGCTCCCTGTGACCACGTTGGCGATAGTTCTTCCACAAAAGCCATGCTATTGTTGGTTGCCTGGTGGATTCTGACTCACGGCGCCCCCATGTGTGCTGAGTAGAACTGCTCCATAGGGTTTTTAAGGCTGTGACCTTTGGGAAGCCGATCGGCAGGCCTCTCTTTTGAGGTGCCTCTAGGTGGCTTTGAACTGCCAGCCTTTCAGCTATTAGTTAAGTGCTTCACCTTGTGCGCCACCCAGGGACTCCTGTAAAAAGTGTGATGGCCCCGTATTTTGCCCCCAAATCCTTTGATATTAAAGTAATTGGTAGGCTATAAATTACCCCCTATAGCACTCGGTGACATCTGATATCTCCATATGGCCAAGGGACAAAAGCAGATCGCCCCCATATTGACCACAGAATCTTCCTATATCAAAATAGTGACAGAGATCCCAAGTACTAGGCCATAAATTACTCATGTTGCACCCTGAGACCTTGGAATACCGGGAGAGTGATAGTTTCCCCACAGCTTTGCTGTTACACCCTGTTACGGATTGAAGTGTGTCCCTCCAAAATATGTGTTGTAAATCCTGACATCTATGCCTGTGGTTATGATCCCATGTGGGAATGGGTTTGTCTTTGTTATGTTGATGAGGCAGGATTAGTGTAGGGTGTTATCTTGAGTCAATCTCTTTTGAGATATAAAAGAGATTAAGTGCAAGATCGCCCAGGAGCAAAAGCTCAAAGAGACAAGGACCTTCCTCCAGAGCTGACAGAGAAAGCTTCCCCTGGTGTTAGCACCCTGAATTTGGACTTCTAGCCTCCTAAACTGTGAGAAAATAATTTTCTGCTGGTTAAAGCCATCCACTTGTGGAATTTAAGCATTCGGCTCCTAACCAAAAGGTTGGCAGTTTGAGTCTACCAGCCACTCCTTGGAAATCCTATGGAGCAGTTCTACTCTGCTCTAAAGGGTCAGTATGAGTCGGAATTGACTGGACGGCAGTGGGTTTTTTTGTTTCGTTTTTTGGTTTAGATAACTAAGACACACCCAACATTGGGCTGCAGGAGCTTTCTACATCAAAATGCTGACAGAACCCCCAACACTGGGCCTCATGTGGCACCAGCTGTTAGTTGCTGTGGATTCTGTTTCGACTCATGACAACCTTATGTATAACAGCAAGAAACACTGCCCAGTCCTGTGCCATCTTCAGAATCCCATAGCACCAGAGCTTCTCCAAAAGTAAGGCTAAGAACACCCCATATCCCTCCCCGAAAGCTTCGCTCAATATTCTCCCTGTAGAGCCTGCAACACCCCATAGGGCTCATGGGACCTCTATATCGACATGCTGACACAGCCTCCCTTAAAGGAACCAGAAGTAACTCATAATGCACCTTCGATCTCAAGATCATGGTGGTGACAGAGGCTCTGGTAGCTTCAATTCCAAGATAGAGAGCTTCCCCATCTCACCCAGGGCCAGGGCCATGGACTCCCACACCCAGTGCCAAGACATTTCTGTATTGAGATGCCAAGACCCTGGAGCTGTCAACACCCAGTGCCATACTCCAGGAGCTGCGATGACACCACAGGACCAGGGATCCTGTGAAAGCCCCGCCCTGCATGCCCTTGGGGCCACAGACAGCACCAGGTCACTACCCAACACCCTCCACCACAGTCCCAAGACTGAAGACACTCACCTCCAATCTGCTGTTCTAGTTCTTCTCTCCAGGTTTCAATGATGAGAGAGAAGGTACCCTGGTTGGGTTGAGGGAGGGGGAAACATAGGAATAAAAGACATTGATCAAGGCAAGGACTCAGTGAAGACCAGAGTTCAGGGGTGAAGAGTGATGGTCAACTGTGAGGATCAGGCAGGCAAGGGACAATTCTCAGACGGACTGGCCCAGGGAAGGAATGGGATTTGGGGCTTTCTAAACCAAGGTCTTACTATGCGCTACGCACTTTATTCAAGACACCTGGGTGAATTCCTCACACGGAAACCTAGTGGGGTACCTTGATAATCCCATTTTACAGATGAGCAAACTGAGGCTGGCTCTAGAATTCGAATACAGGTCTGTTCAGCTCTGTGCTTTTGGGGTCGTGGGGGTGGGAGATAGGATTTTGGAGGTGAAGGAGTCAGGAATGGGGGCCCCAATTGGAAGAACTGAGGAAGGATAAAGTGAGATTGGGGGTCCCCAAAACAGGATGGGAGGGTTCCTAGGTGCAAGGAAATTTAGGGATAAAGATGAGGATCCCGGTATTAAGGTCTTCCCAAAGAGCAGACACTCCTTGGAAACCTATGGGGTAGTTCTACTCTGTCCTCTAGGGTCGCTATAGGTCGGAATCGACTGGATGGCGCCGAGTAGTAAAGACCAGAGAGAGTTCTGCGAATTTAGGGCTTCCCGCGGGTAGGCTTGGAGTTCTGGGAATTTGGAGTCCTCAGCATGCAGGGTGTGGTCAGAACATTTGGGGTCTCCAGTGAGTAGGGTTTAGGGGTCTGGGAATGTGGAATTCCACATGGTAGAGTTACTGGCCTGGGAATATGGGGTCGCAAGGGGACAGGGTTGGGATCTTGGAAGTTAGGGGGTGGATTTAGGTGGAGGGTTAGGCCCCCAGCACCGGGGCTACCTCAGGCCGGGTCTCACCGGCCAGGCTTCACGGAAGGGCACGCGCATTAGGCGGTTGGGCAGCGGCAGGTCAGACGTGGGCGCTCCGGACTGCCCGGTGTAGACGGGTCCGCGCGCGCTCAGCGCCGCGCCCAGGGCGCACGGGAACTCGGCGGCCTCCTCGGAGACCCCTGGCTTCAGGCAGACTCGGAAGAAGAGGCGGCAAGGACCCCGGGCGCTGCACGGCGACCGCGGGGCCCCGGGCCCAGGGCCCGGCCCGAAAGAGTGAATCTGCACCTCGAAGACGCCGGCCGGCCGTGCCTGGGGCGGACAGGGGCACGGGGTGAGGGGGCCGCGGGGACGCAGGCGTCCAGTCCGCCCCGCGCTCCCTCCCCAAGACCCTCGGGTCTTTCCCCCCCACACACACCTCGCAACCCTCCCTTCCCACTTCATCTCGCGCGGGTCTCTGACCTGAGGGAGGAAAAAGAGCGCCAGGAGCATGGTCCGGAATAGCAGCCGGGGCTTCCGCGGGGCTACCATGGCCTTTCGCGGGGGGTCTCGAGAATCGCAGCTGCTGGCTCTGGAACCTTATATTGGAGGGGACGGCCCCGCCCCTCCGGGCAACCGTCTGTCTCCGGGGGACTCGAGGGGAGGGGCTCTCCGGAGGACTCGAGGTCCCAAAAGGAGCTGCCAAAGAGGGCTGTGGTTTGTGGGCACTTACTTGGATAGGTCGAGAATGTATGATTCTGTGAGGATGTGCGGTTGTGGAGGTGACTTCCTGTGTGGTTCGGAGGGGTGGGTTAAGCCTGTGGGTGAGATTCTTAATGGTCTCAAGATTCTGTGCCCGTGGTGTCCACTTGGGGTGGGGTGTGTGCATGACTTCGTGACTGTGTGTCTGCGTGAGATTGTGTGGCTCAACGTGTGCTCAGACTTTGCGGTGAAGCCTGTTCCTGAGGTTGTAAATAATTCTAAGCTTCTGTGTGTGTGTCCACCTGCGTGCGAGACTAGGGGTGTACACGATTTCCCGTGACATTCTGAGGTTCTGTGGCTGTGTGGCTGCTTCCCTGTGCATGTGTGTGAGACCTGGGCGGCTGTTAGTCTCAACGTGACTTGGTGGTCTGTGCACTGCCTCTAGGTGGCCGTGGGTGTGATTGTGTGTGGTAGAGGCAGTTGGAGTATGTGACTGAGGGGTGTGTGTGAGCAAGCCTGGGTGTGTATTTACTGTGGGGGGCGTGGTGAGAGGTCCATAGGTGTAACCCTGTGTGGTTACGATGAAGATCGGGGGTTCTTTGTGGACCCGTGTGTGTGTGTCCGTGTGTGTGTGTGTGTGTTCGTGTGCTTCCCCCCGAAGACAAAGCCAGCCTCCTGACTCCGCATCACGAACGCACCAGACGCCAGGGCAGAGGAGCCCCTGCCTCAAAAGGGGCTCCCAGCTGTATGTAAATGTCGCCATCTGCCGGGCGGTCGCGCCCCTCCCCCTCCGGGTCGCAGCTGGCCTGCCCGCTCAGCCTCCGGAAGGTGTGAGGAGCAAATGGGCAGGAAATTCCGTCCTCACATTATCAGGGGCCCGCGATGAATGCAGCGGGTACCCGTGGACCCTCCAACAGCCCCTTAGTATTCCAGGGCCTCAGCGAGGAGATGCAGTTAGCAGCGGGTGTTCCAGTCTCCTGCCATAATCACTTACTCTCTGCCAGGCGCTGGGCAAAGCCCTTTAGAGGAAGTAAAGGCACTCATTTCCAGAATTTAAAAAATTTTAATACTTAGAAGCTAATGATTATAGAAAGAAAAATATGTCCAATTTATAGACATTTTTCTTTTGGAGGAGAAAGATAGGGTTACCGTAAAGCCTCCTCCAGCAGAGGCACATAGAGGTGCTCAGTAATTTTTTAATTACACCAGGGGTGTACACCAATCTAGAGTTTTCTCTTAATCCTGAGGACACCAGAGTCACCGCAGGTCTTGCACAGGGGAGGTCCGGGCCACGGTGAGATGGTGCAGAACACCCGCACTCCTCCGCACGGACTCTCCCTCTTCTTGTTACTCTTCCGATTCTTTGGTCTAATTCTTTCCTGTTCACCATTCAAACTTCACCTCCTCCAGGGGGCCCTCCCAAACACCTCCCACAGGGATCTGGCAGCTCCTCTGAGCTCTCACCACCCCCTGTACTTCTCCCATCTGGGGGCCCCAACCCCCCTGCCTGTACCTCCCCCATGCAGGCCCTGATCACTCTACAGGTCTTTCGAAAGCACAGACCTGACCAAAGCTCCCTACGCAGTCTCCCAGGGTCCCCAAAACATACTCCAACCTTCTAAAAGTTCCTCCTTCCACCCACCCCCTCACCCCCACTGACTCAGGTTATGCGGTCCCCCAAGGTAGAGTCAGATCTCATGGACAAGTTACTGGAAGGCAAATGGGGGTCCGCACTGGGTTAGGTGGTGGAATCAGCACCCCACTAAAGGAGCTAGTCAGAAAGAATCTGGGCAGCCGTTAGAACCAGCTGGGGAAGGAGGCAAGCCCTGCTCTGGATGGCAGCTTCAGAGGCTATCCAGGTGGGAGAGATCTCAAAACTATTAAAGATAATAATAACACCCAGGCCTGAAGGTGCTTCACAAGGATGCTCTCATTTCTGGGTATGACGTGTACCTTAAGGGATTTCCCAACACGTTTTTAGCTATTTATATGCTGACTTTAGAGCCCATGAGTCCTTAAAATAAAACAGGACTTGACTGCGTTGCGTGCGTGCCAGCCACCATGCTAAGTAACATGTCCATTTATGAACTCATTAGCAACTACAGCAGCCCTTGGAAATGCACCCCTCCCCCCATCCCAGGCCCCCTGGAGGCCTGTCCATCACCGCCGGCAGGACTGTGCGGCAGCCTCCTCACCTCACCACCTCTCACCCTTCAATGCAGAAATGTCCCTTCTCTGCTCAGGACCCCCTCATGGCTCCATCTCACGCCAGCTAAAAGGCAAAGTCCTCACTGTGGCCCATGACGCCCCAGACGAGCTGCTCCTCTCTGCTTCAACTCATTCCGCATCTCTCCTCCTCCTCCTCCTCACTCACCTGCTCGGGCCACGCAGGCCTCCATGCCATTCCTTGAACAGCCATGCCATTACCTCCCTCAGGGCCTTTGCACGGGCTGTTCCCATCACCTCCAACGCTCTTCCCCCAAATATATTCCTTCATTCCACAAAATTGAAGATGTGACTAGTAAACACCAGGCACAAACAAAACAAAAATCTCCGCCCTCGTGGCATTTTCATGGAAGGATGACAGAAAGAGTAAGTGACAATGTGTCAGACGGTGGTAAGCATAACGCAGAATAAATCAAAATAAGGGGGATGGGGTGTACTGGGAGAAGACTGTAATATTCAACAGCGTGGTCAGGGGTCACCCCTGAGCCAAGACCTAAGGATGGGGAGGCAGCCAGATGGCTACCTGAGGAAAACACTCCTGGCAAAGGGATCAACCAACGCAAAGGCCACCTGCACAAACCACCAGGCCGCAGACCTGCTCAAGACCATCAAGGATGAGCCCTCTCCCACACCCAGGGTTGGAGGGCAGGGGGCAAATTGACATTCTTCTTTGCAGACACCTATAAGCCTTTTAGAAAACCTAGAGTTCCGAGGTTCATTGTGGCCCACACAGTTTCAAATGAATTTTCATTAGTAAACAGCTATTGATCCATAATCAATGCCCATGGAAGCAGCAGTCAAGACATCAAAGGACGCATTGCACTCTGCAAATCTGCTGCAAAAGACCTCTTTATAAAGTGTTAAAAAGCAAAGATGTCACTTTAAAGACTAAGGTGCACCTGACCCGAGCCATGGTGTTTTCAATCGCCTCATATGCATGTGAAAGCTGGACAATGAATAAGGAAGACCGAAGACCTGATGCCTTTGAATTATGGTATTGATGAAGAATATTGAGTATTCCATGGAATACCAGAAGAACAAACACATGTGTCTTGGAAGGACAGCCAGAATGCTCCTTAGAAACAAGGACGGTGAGACTATATCTCACATACTCTGGACATGTTATCAGGAGGGACCAGTCCCTGGAGAAGGACATCATGCTTGGTAAAGTAGAGGGACAGCGAAAGAGAGGAAGACCCTCCCCGAGACGGACTGACACAGTGGCTGCAGCAATGGACTCAAGCATAGCAAGGATTGTGAGGATGGCGCAGGACTGGGCAGTGTTTCATTCTGTTGTACACAGGGTCACTGAGTCAGAACCGACTCAACGGCACCGAACAACACAGCAAACAGCAAAAAAGCTATTTTTTTACATATTTCACTACACTAGACGCCGGCTGGGACAGCAGGGGGACTTGGGTAGAAGATGGCTCAAGTCGAACTGGTATAGGATATTTCAATCTGTAAGTAATGAGTATGGCCTGGTAACAAGCCCACGTTCATACAGAGATAGAGACAGGCAGACAGAAACGATGTTTAGTCTGGATATGGATTATCCTATTTACTCCTCTCAAGCACTCCACCAAGATAGGTACTGTTATACCCCCATTTCAGAGATGAGGAAGCTGAGGCAGAGAGGTCTGTGCCTCACCTAAGGTTCACACAGCTGCAACTTGAGAACCCTACATGGGAGCGCCTCACTCAGCTCTAAAGCCTACCCTATGAAGTAGGTGCTACTATTTTACAGGGTGGAAACTGAGGCACGGAGAGGTAGAGCAAGTTGCCCAAGATCACACAGCCAGGAAGTTGCAGAGCTTGGATTTGCACCTGGGCAGCCTGGAGCCTGTACACTTAATGCACAACCCTGCTGTCCAATGTGGGAGCCAGGAGCCCCCTGTGGCAATTTAAAATTAAGTAACATTTAAAATTCTGTTTTTTCAGTCACACTGGCCACATTTCAAGTGCTCAATACCCGTTAAGTGGCCACTGACTCCTGTACTAGACAGACAGACACAGAACACGGAGCCCACCACAGCAGGATGTTCTGTCGGGCAACACTGCTACAGCCTGCCCGTTTAGTTAGGAGCCAACATTTAAAAACTGGGAGATTTAATTTAAAAAATCCCAATTTCTAGCTTCTGCTAAAAAGATCAGAAGATGAAACAACTCCAGGCCCACCTTCCCATGGGGTGACAGCCGGCTGGAGCAGAGTGGCCCTGCCCTCTTGTGACGGGGACATCTCTGCTCCGCCAGAGCCCCAATGAGCCCACTCTTCACGTAGTCACATAGCAGCCTGGCAGCTACCTGTCTTCAAAACCCGTGATGCCGTCCTCACGTCTCTTGTCCACAGGTGGAGAGTCTGGGGCCAGAGGGAGATGTGCTTTTTTTTGCAGATCACACAGCACACAGAAAGATATGGCCAGAGGGACACAAGTGTTCTGATTCCCAGGTCAGGGAACCGACCCTCCTCCAACAAAGCACCCCTCCATGCTTGGCAGCTGATCAGCCACTGTGGGAGAGAGGAGCGATGACCCCCCAGGCCCTGACCTCAGCCCGATGTCCCCATCTGGTGACTCTCTGGACACATGAGTCATGGCATCTGGGATGGACTTTATTGGACACGTGGCTGCCCACTTTTTGGGTCTGTGAGCCATGGGGCCAGGACCCAGGCACTGAGTCTGAGAAGGCCCACAGGTTAGGGCTGTTTGGAGCGAGGCCACAAGCGGCTGGTGAGGGAGCCGAAGAAGAGGTTCTGCTTGCTGGACTTGGAGAGCTCGGCCAGGCGCTGCTGCTCCTCCTGGGGCAGGTGGAAAGACAGATGATGGGAGGCTCAGCCCATCCCCCCTACACTCCCAGGCCCCCAGCCCAGCCCAGCCCAGAGGCCAGCCTTCCTTTAGCCCTCCGCCCACCCAGCCCCCTTCCCTGAACTCCCAGGATACCAGTTCACAAATAGGAGGACCCCAGGCTCCAAAGGGCCAGCTCTGAATCACAGGAGTCCCGGCTCTGACGTTTGGGGGACACCAGGCACTTAGGGTCTCCACCCCTGAGCCTCAGCATCTTCTTGGGCCCCAAGCTCTCAAGATCCCAGGCGGTCCCTCTCCTGAAGCCTGGGAGCCAAACCCAGACCCTACTCCCCCAGCCTGGATGCTACCGAGACCCTGGCCCAAACCTCAGGGTCCCCTTCCCCAGACTGCATGATCCTGCATCCTGGGCCACCGGTACCCACCCTGACCCCTGCTGGGTGCTGGAGGACCCTAGGCCCAAATCGCTAGGAACCCCTTCTCTAGGTACTCAGGGGCTCCAAGAACACAACCTAGAATCTGGTCACTCCCAGCCTAGACCCCTGGGAATCTCATCCTCAGACTCAATCCACACCCTCAGTCCCACTTCCAAATTACCAAGGTTCCACCAAGACTATCAGAACCCCCTTCCCCAAACCCTCGGGCCTTACCCCCAGGTCCCCAAGGATCCCTTTCTGGACCTGATCCAAACCCACAGTCACCTCCATAAGTAACCAAGGCCCCAGCCCTATCTCAGATGCTGGGCGTTTCCTGCCTCTGTTCTCAGAGCAGGCTGCAGAGTCAACTCACCCCTAGTTACCACAGTCCCACAAGACAGGCTGTCTTACACCCCCGTTTCCAGACACAGACTGAGGCAAAGCAGAGAAGGTATCTGCCCAAGGTCACACAGCCAACCAGTGAGAGTGGAGACAGGCTGACTCCAGGCCCTCCTCCAGGGAGCCTCGGAACTGATGCACCTGCCCCCCACCTGGTTTGGGGACCCGCAGCACCCACCTGCTCTAACCGGCTCTGCCGCTGTTTGAAAGCCTCAAGCGGGTCCTCCTCCAGTGCGTAGTGCTCCAGCACCGTCCGGACATCCTCTACGTTGTTGAGCGCGATGGCTGTGGGCACAAAGGTGGGGGGTCAGCCAGGCTGAGGGCCAAAGGGAGGCAAGGCCCACAGGGTAAAGGGAAGACACTGGGGGTCGGTGCCACCTGGGACCCTCTCAACACTCTGAAAGAGTTCTAAACCCCGAATGTCCCCAGAACATCCCTGAGAGCCCCCTAAGCACTCCAGAGGAACAACCCAAATATTCTAAGAAGAAGCTTCTAAAGACTCCAAGAAGCCCCTGGACCTCCTGCTTCTCAACTGCCCAGTTTTACATAAAAGATGACTCAGAATCAAGTGCTTATCATCCCTCTTGAGGGGCAGGGTTCTGAGGTCAGAGGCCAGGAGGTCAAGGGTCAGCTCACTCTTGAGGAAAGCGGACAGGTCCAACAAGACCCGGTCATCGGAATTGCCGTCCCAGGGCCGCAGGGCAACGCCGTTGTAGGGCTGTAAGCGGAAGGCTTCCTTCTTGCAGTCCACGATGACCACACGGGCTGGGTCCCGATTCAGACATGAAATGTCCTGGAAGGGGGTGGTAGGTCAGGTCACTGTGTGAGTCCCTTCCCTCTCCACCAGGAACAGAACACACACACACACAGACACACACACACAGACACACACACACAGACACCCACACACACAGACACACACACACACACACACAGACACACAGACACACAGACACACAGACACACACACACACACACACGGATCACCATGGGCAGGGCCTCCCTAAGACCAGGCTTGTGTCTACGGCATCAAACTTCGCGGGGAGCTGGGGAGCTAGTCATGCAGACCCCTGGAACTCCCATCCAGACAGACGTCCCGCACTCAGAGAGGGTCATCCAGGAGGTCGGGAGAGGGAGCCACACACTGCCCAGGGGACCGGGAAACAGTGGTACTTTGCGGGCTGCAGAACCTCTCACCAGATACAGAGGTGCAAGCACACCCACAGCAACAACAGGGAGTCCCATGGACAGGCACAGATGCCAAATACATGGCCACAGACCCCCGACGACCCTCAACCGCAGCCCAGTACCTCTGAATCCCCAAGAACGACACAGACCCCAGACTCACCAAGACACAGTTTGAAACCCACGGACACTTGGACCCACACTCACAAAAACACGCAGGCACAGACTCACGGATGGACGCTGAGTATATAACGGCTCATAGTCACAGACTTCAGTTCAGACAGACCCAAATACAATCTTATATAAACTATTATAATTACACAGTCCCAGATACACAGAGACAAGCCGTGTGTCCCTACCACTCATCCCTAACTTCCTCCTTTAAGGAGACCCCACTTCCTTCCCCTCACTCCCACTCCAGGAGGGAGAAGGGCTCAGAGGCCCAGCCGAGGCTGGAGGCAGGCCAGGTCCTGCCAGCAGGAGCCAGAGATGGGGCTGACCTGGGGTCAAGGCTGGAGTCAGAGCCAGGCCCTCGTTCCCTCAGGAAGTGCCAACCCCAAGTACCCCAGCCCGGAGGCCCACCCATGACCGCACACGGCACCTTAACATGGTGCCCCTCCATGTATCGCGTAGCATCCCGGAAGAGGCGGTAGGAGATGAAGCCGTGGGGGTCCACGCTGTCGATGAGAGGAAACGCGGTCTGGGGTGGGGTGGGGTGGGGTGGGAGAAGGAACAAGGTCAGGCTGAGCCCTGATCCTCCAGCCACCCCCACCACCACACTGACCACCCCTTCCCCACCCGGACCCTCACCATGCCAGTCTCTGACGTAAAGATGACAATTTCATACAGAGGGGCGAGCTGCTGGAACAAGGTCTCGATGCCTGGACGCTTCTTAAACCTCCAGCCGGTGGCCAGCTAGGGAAGCAGTGGGGACAGTGAGGTGCCAAGACCCAGAGGCCCTCCCCAGAGCCCCCACAGGGACAAAGACCCGGCCGGGGGATCTTCCAGAACCAGAGTTCTCGTGCTCTGTGACTCCTGGGCGGGGGCTGTGATTGAGGCTCTGCGATTCTGCAGGGTCTGGGCCCCCGAGTAATAGCTGACTCCTTGGTAGCATTTTCCATGTGCCAAGACACACCCACTGCCCAGTGGGCACTAGCATCCTCTCCTTTTCACAGCTGAGGAAGGTGAGGCAAAGAGAGGGGCACCTCCTCCCCAAGGACACACAGCAGAGTCGGGGCTGAACCCCAGCCTGGCTCCAGACTGTGCTCTTAACCGCACTGTAAGACCCAGAGGCCAGACCCATCCAGTGCCCCAACCCGCTGCCCTCCCCATACACACCGACCACTCCGGGTGCAGGAGGACGCCAGTGAGCTCCAAGACCAGTGTGTAGGGCGGCTGGTAGTATGGCTCCCGCAGGGGGTCTGGGAGCAGGCAGGGGCTGGTGGGCTCGATGATCATCTGTGAAAGAGGGACAGGATGGGGTGCCCTCAGATGGAGGTAGGGGGCTAGGGTGGGGGCGCTGGGGAGACGGCCCAGGGTTCCTGCTCACCTGTCTATAATCTTTGAAATATTTGTAGGTCCGGCGCAACTGCTGTACCAGGACTGGATCTAGGAGAACACCAGGGCACAAAGGGATTCCGAGATAAGCCCCTGCTCAGCCTCCCAGACAAACCAGGGGTTTCTTGATCTACCAGACGCAAACCATCTACAAACACACCTGGCTTGAACCAGTTCATCTCTAGGTTCAGAAGTAGAGAGGAATACGTGATGTAACCACCAAGCAGAGACAGAGATATTTACCCACCTGTCTAGTTTTAACCTGGCGCCCTGGTGGCACAGTGGTTAAGAGCTCGGCTGCTAACCAAAACGTCAGCAGTTCAAATCCACCAGTTGCTCCCTGGACACTCTATGGGGCATTTTTGCTCTGTCCTACAGTGTCTCTATGAGTGGGAACCAACTCGATGGCACCTAACAACAAGTTTTAACCTGAATATTTATACTCACACGTCACCCAAGATATAAAACAGAACGATTATACATTTACCTACTTAAAACCAATAAGCGTATATATCTGCTGACATTAACCACGTTGAACCGCTGTTTCTAGATTTGCTCACTTTGAACCAGCATGCCGAGTCTAGTTAAATCAGGATGAATATACACATGTCTCTCTATTTTCAACCAGGGGTTCTCACCTAGGAGTGATCTGGAAGGCAGCAGCTGGAGGTATTTTTGATCGCCACGCTAGCGACATCGAGTGGGTGGAGGCCCAGGATGCTGCTGAACATCCTACAGATGGATGCACAGGGCAGCCCCCACAACAAAGAATTATCCACTCCAAACTGTCAGTAGTGCTTAGGTTAAGAATCCTGGCTTTAAACCCAGTTTACTCCTGACTTACCTACTTATATGACTGCCTCCTTCAATCTAGTGTATTTAGCCCACTGAAACCTGTAGGCTTGCCTTTCAAAGACTACAATATTGAAATCAGTTAAGCTAGTAAACATACACACTAAACCTGTGTTTATCTGGTCACTTTAAATCAATATCTTCCGAGTTAAAACAGCGTCAATATATTAACATGCTTGTTTACAAACGTCCCCAACACAAACACGTGGCTTTTAAAATATTTTTTCTCCTGAAAAGGGTGAGGTGTGATAGGAATTGACAACTACTCTCCACCATCCAATTTATCAGAAACTCCCCAGTCAAAGCTGGTTAACCAGAAGAGGGACGGGGGAGGGAGGCATTGTTTTGGAAATGAAGAGCCGGACGGATGAGAGGCTTGGGGGGAAAGAAGAGGCTGTCATGAAAAGGACGTTAGGGACTAGAGGCTCAGATCTAAGGCACAGGAAGCCATGTGTCTGGTGGCGTAGGGCTGACCCGTCTCCCCAGCCCCCTATCCCCTCCCCCATCTGTCCCTGACCATCTGCTCCTGGGCTGAGGGGCCAGGGAAGGGGACTGGGGCTTCCTAATGCCCCTCCTCCTAAAGCCATCCAGCTGCTGACTCCCCCACCTCCCAATGGAAGAAGGAGGGGCAGGGGGAGGGAGCACACACCAGATGGGGAGGGCTATATCCCTGCAAACGACAGCAGAGTTGGGGGGATCAGGGATCCCAGAACCTGTGCTTGTTTACTCACCATTGTCGAATTCATCAGGAATCTGCGAGGTAAAAAGAAAAATGAGGGGTTGGCGGTGGCAGAAGCAGAACCCCATCACAGCCAGGAAAGGAATTTCTAGGCCCCTGAAGAGGAGTAAGCAGCGGTCCCTGGGAGGGGGCCGCTAACCCCAGGCAGAAACGGGCCTGAGCAGACCATGGGGGCCCACTCTCACCCCCATAGGATAGGGCCCCTGCCATGGCATCTGGGTCTCTTTCCTCCTCACCTTGGCACCAGTTTCGTCCACAGAGTTGTTTCCTGCAGGGAAGAGAGGGATGAATGAGAAAAACTGGGCCCAGTCTTCTGGGTCCGGAGGGAGGAGGCAGGCAGGGAGACTGGACTCCTGGGTTCTGAGGCCTGTTCTTTCCCATCTTCCCCTCTTCCCATCGGCCCCCTGCAGCCTAGCGCAGGAGCCAATGTGAAGGAGTAAAACTTTGAGAGAGAGAGCAGAGCAGAGAAGACAGGAGACCCTCCCCTTTTCTATGTAGGTGTGCTAGTTGGCTGCTCCAGGAAGGAGCTGAAAGAAGATAAATGAAGCTCTAGGGCGGAGGTTCCGCAATGGAATGGGAGGCCAACAGGACAAAACCGGGGACAAGGGTGTATCCCTCACCGAAGATGTAGACGACGCTCACGGTCCCACCGGCCCCGAGCAGCCCTGCGAGCCAGAGCGCGACTTTCTTGGCATAGCTAGGGCCCTCAGAGCGCCGCTGCTGCTGCTGTGATCCCTGGGCCTGAGTGCTCCCACGGCTCCCGATCCCTGCAGCCTGCAGTTGAGAAGGGAGCAAGTTGGCCAAAAGAGAAGAAAGTCGGGGTGATTTGGGCACCCTGGTTCCTGAGAAGAATCAAGGTCCAGAGCCAAGAACAGACACCCACATTGCCCTCAGGCAACCTGTCCCTGGAGGAGCCGCGAGAAGGTTGGGTCCTTCAGCCAAGTCAGGAACTAGACTGTCAGATGCCTAGATCCCAAGGGTACCCTGGATCCTGGAGGCAACAGGACTGGAGGGTCTGGAACCCAGAAAAGCAGGGGAGGGAGAAGAGATCGGGGGCGTGGACGTTTGGATGCCCGGAGCAAGGGGATGGAGGACACACGGGGGATGGAACAGGACGGGGAATTAAGACATGTGGATGCCTGGGGCTCATGATAGCAGGGTACAGAAGGGAAGAGGTGGGGGCTGGGAGGGGGCAATCCGCTTGCCAGGGGCTTGAGAAGGCAGGGCACGGAAGTGGTGGGACTGGAGGTCAGAATGGCTGGGTCTCCGTCAACATGGAGGCAGGCCGAATGCGGAACGCGAATGCCTACGCCACACCCTTCCACCATCAACGCGGAGAAAATACTCACCCTCCAAGGCCAGGCTGGGACCCCAGTGTCCCGGCCCTCTCCCCCTCAAGTATTGCCCGAGCGGGCAAAGAGATGAAGAACAGGTGACCCCTCCCCCGGCGCCCACGTGAGGGAGAGATGGGGTCCAGGGCGCGCACTTGCGCCCCCAGCATCCAGCCCAGAGGAGTAAGCGTGTCCACTCCAAAAGGCAGAGAAGCGCCCCAGAAGGCGGGAGGCGACGGCGTTCCATTCAGCACCCTGAGGTGCGGCGTCCCAGAATCCCCGGGCGGCCGCGTACCGTGCGGAATTCCGGGGAAAGGCCTCAGCACGCGGGTCGCCACCCCTGTCCCGCTCACCTGGTCCGGTGCCCGGGGGGGCGGTGTCGCCAGCCGCGTGCACAGCCCCCGGGCGCCAAGCCGGAGCCCGCTCCGCAGGCGCAAGAACGGCGCTGCCGAGGCCGCCATCTTGCGCTGACGCCACGCGGCCCCGCCCACTCGCTCCTCTCTCGCCCTGCCCGGGCCGGGACCGCGACCAATGGGCGCGCAGAGGTGGGGCGGGCGGACGGGAGCCCGAGAGAGACAAAGGGCTTCGGGAGCATCGCGGCAGGCGGGACTCAGCGAGGGCAGAGATCGCACCTTGCAGAGGTAAAGTTGAGGCCATATAAGAGAACCACCGGCCAAGGTTATCCACAATGGCTGCCTGATCTGTCCAAAACGCGAATAGTCAGGGGTCCGGGAGCTCATCTGGCCCTCTGAGGGGTCTACCTTCACCTCCCAGGTGTCAGAAGTCGAGGTCCAGAAAGTGGACTAAAAGGCCAGCCCTCACAAACTCCCTCACGTGGAGCTGGGAGGCGGCATCTGTCTTCTCTACCGTTTTCCGAGCCCTTCTTGCCCTTCCTGCCCTGAGTTTCCTATAAAACAAAAAAACCCCGTTGCCATCGAGTCCGACTCATAGCGACCCCATAGGACGGAGTAGAACCGCCCCATAGGGTTTCCAAGCTGTGATCTTTACGGAAGCCGCTGCCACATCTTTGTCCCGCAGAGCGGCTGGTGGGTTCCAACTGCTGACCTTTCAGTTAGCGGCCGAGCGCTTTAATCGCTGCGCTACCAGGGCTCCTTGGAGTTTCTTATAACGGTCCGGAATTTTGAGAGCCTACCACTTCATCTGGGGCCCAGCCAAAGGGGCAGCGAGCGACATGTCTGGCTGGGCTGAGCTGATTCAGTGAGGGTGAGAAATCTTATGAATTTGAGCCTACCAGTAGCCACAATGAATCTCCCCAAAATTATTCTGCATGGGGGAGAAAAAAGTCTGATACCATTTATATGACTTTAAAAACATGCAAAATTACCACGTAACGTTTAAGGGTAAATAACTAAGGTAGTAAAAGTAGAAAGTCAGGCATGGGAAAGACACAGAAGCAGGCTTGTGGTTACCTCTGGAGGTTACCTCTGGAGGAGCTCTGGTGGCGCGGTGGTTAAGCGCTCGGCTGCTAACTGAAAGGTCAGCAGTTTGAACCCACCAGCTGCTCTGGATGAGAAAGACGTGGCAGTCTGCTTCCATTAAAGATCACAGCCTTGGAAACCCGATGGGACAGCTCTACTCCATCCTACCGGGCCACCGAGTCAGAACTGACTTGAAAGCCACGAGTTGGGTTTGGTTTGGGGGATATTAACTGTGATTTTCACTTAGCATGATAACTTATGCCTGAATAAGACGTAATTTCATCAACCACATGGCACACGGTGCTCTACTAATCTCTTTCAAGATGTCTCCTCACACATTCCTCTCAAAAGCCCTCTGGGGTGGGCACTGTCAGTATTTTCTAGATGGAGAAATTGAGGCTTCGGTGGGACCCCCAAGTTATTTGCCCAAGACCACAAACAATGAAGAGCAGGGTCTGCAAATGACCCCACGTACCAGACCAGACAACCCCCACCTCCCTCCACCGCCCCTCGTGCACACACAGGAACGAGACTTTTGACCAAATGGCTTTTTATTGAAAGACCGCAACACAAAAGCAAGCGTGGGGGGTTGGTGCATACAAGGTGAAGATCCTCCCCATCCAGACTTTACTCTGATTCCCATGATGGAGAGCAAGTCCTGGAACATCAGGAAGGGATGGGATGGGAACTCAGAAAGGGAAATAAAGGAAACCCAGAACGACCAGCCTGGCCCTGCTCCAGCCCCGGGGTGGCAGCCAAGGGAAGGAAGCAGGATCACTCGTCACCTCCCAGCTGTGTGCAACATCCACCCACCCTGCCTGCGTTAGACCTCCAGCAGCTTCCCTAGGAAGCGCAGGTTGAGGATCTTGAGCTGTTCATCAAGGTCCATCCGGACAATGCCGTCCTCACCATCGATGCTCAGCAGGACACCTGTGGCTTCCCGGTCCTCACCCAGGATGACCTTCACCTGGGGGTGGGGGTGGGGGACAGGGGGACAGGGGGTCAGGGTCCCGTGTCAGCAGCCCAGTGCCCCTCACCCACCCTGTGCCCTTACCTTATTGTTCTTGGTAGGGGTGATGGGCTCCAGGTGCTCACTGGAGATGCTGACCACCTTCTCACTGTCCTTCAGGTACACGGAGCACATGCCGCCCTGGGGGTGGGGACAGCCCGGTCAGCATGTCCTGCTCCCCACACAGGGCTGACACCACATCCAAAGGACACACACTTGTGGCTCATTCTGAGAAGTCACTTTCCCAAGGTGACACAAAGCAAGAAATGGCAAGGCTAGGCCTGGCTGTAAGGCTGGGGCCCCCGATGCAGGAGATTTGGGGAGGCATGAGCAGGTCAGTGAGGGAAGCACTGCTTCTCAGGCACTTGACCACCTCATGTCCCAAGCTGGCCTCAGTACGGCCCTCATACCTCCTTCTTATGGGCCCCATCTCAGGGACAGCTCCACAGTCCCCAGCCAGAGCCCTGGGCCTCATCTTGGTCACCTCCCTCCCAGACACCCTCCAACTGAGGCCTGCGTGGAGCCCGTCCTACCCCAGGCTCCGGCCCCCAGGCTCACCATCTCTAATCCATGCCAATACAGCAACATAGAGAATTCATTCCAAACCACACACCTGGTCCCATGCTCCCTGCTCCAGCCCCTCCAACTCCTCAGGCACAGTCCAGTCCAAGCTCCCCTGGCCGGCATGTGACCTGGCCTAGCCACTGCTCTGGCGTCAGCCCTCCCCTCCCTCTGGCTCTTTGTGTTCCAGTCACAATGAATGTAGCTCCGCTCCCTAAATGCGCCAGGCTTTCCCTGTACTTCCAGGCACACAGCTAACCCCTTCCCCAGCCATTTTTCCTGGCTTACTCTTATGCATTCTTCAGGTGTCAGCTCAGACATCTCCTCCAGGAAGCCCTCCCTGATTCCCCCCCCCCAAAGTTGCGTAAGAGTCCCCTTGCTCTGGAGTTCCCCCATCCCAGTTCTGCCCACTCCACTCTGGGCTGTCCCTATCTGGAGACACATCTGTCTGCCCCCTGGAATGTGAAATCCACAAGGACAGGGCCTGGGGCTGTCTTGGTCTCTGGTGTTTCTTTAGTTAATTCAATTAATATTTATTGAAAAGCCAACTAGGGGCTAGGCCTTCATCTAGGAAGTGAGGATATCCACTCAGGAATAAAACCCTGGCTTAGCAATCAAAGAATCACACAGAATCACACCAAGGTAAGCTTTAAGCTGTGGCAGAACATGGGAAGAAGAATTCACGGACCCGAGAGAGCCAGTAAGAGGCAGATCTCCACTAGCCTAGGAGGTGCTTTGCTGCCGGGTGACGAGGAGCTAACTGGGCAAAGAATGGAAGGAGAGGGTTCTAGACAGAGGAAAGAGCATGTGCAAAGGCCCTGCAGCTGGAGGGAACTGGCACTGGAGGAGGCACAGCCCAGGGGCGTGGGGCCTGGCACTAAGCTCCAGCCTGGCACACAGGAAGCACTTGGTACATGCTGCTGAATGGATCTCTCAGAGATAACATGTCAAAAAGTAACCACCGAGATCAGGGGCACCCACATACCGTGACGCTGCGGATGACGCCGGTCTGCCCCACCACCTGTGTATCCAGGTAGGTGTCCCGCACCTTCACCTGGATGTCAGTGGTCACCCAGTCACTGGAGTTCTGCTCGATGCCTGAGCCCGGTGTGTGCGGGTTGTAACCACCAGGGGAGGGGGCTCCGGGCGTCATCGGACTGTAACCAACAGGGCTAGGGCTGGGGCTGGCCTGCAGGGGAAAAGGGACAGGGTTGTTGGGAACAGAGCATCTGGCCTCCCTGTCCCCGTACGCCGAGGCCCGTCCTGGCCCTCCAGGCCATGCAAGCTGACCAGTACCTGATAGGCCATGGGCGAGGGTGTTGGGTGGTAGCTGGCCGGAGAGTGGGTGTTCTGGTAGCCTGCGGGGCTTGGCGCCACCTGGTGGTAGCTCTGGGGACTGGGGCTGGGCTGGTAGGAGCCTTGTGGGGAGGGGGCGGCATAGGGTGAGAACTGGTCTGTGTTGTACCTGCAGGGACAAGGACAGAAGGGGGCATTTGTTGGGGGGGGGAATGAGGTAGCAGAAGTGGCTGGTGAGGGCGAGCCCCAGGTGACTCACATGGCCGGCGTGCCTGGCGTCTGTGGGTTGTACTGCGGGTTGACCTGCGGGGATGAGGGGTCGGGATAGCCCGGTGTTTGGGGATTGGGGGTTCCCCCGTAGGCCTGCGGTGATGGGGTGGGCTCGTCGTCAAAGGCGTACTCGTACTCTTCCTCAGCCCTGTTGGGGCGAGAAGCTGGTTGAGAGCGACTGGTGCCAACAATGAGGCAGCGAGTGCCCACAGAGCCACTGCTGCACGCAGGCCCTGCAGTGAGGCGTTTGGTCCTCCCATCAGCCCATCCAGAGGCACTCCTGACAGCGTCTCCATTTTACAGCTGAAGGGACTGACACAGCGAGATGAGGTGGCCTGCCCAAGGTCACACAACCAGGTGACCTGTCTCCAAGCCCAAGTCCCCACCACAAAGTGCTACTGTGGGTGGGGTTGGAGCGGAGAGCATTGTGGCCCACCCCCACCATGACTACGCCTGGACCAGCCTGGGGCTGGGGGCAGAGAATCCCAGGATAGGCCACACAGATCCCTCCGTCCCCGTGACCTCTGAAGCAGAAGGCCTCCAGGCACTCCAGCGTAACCACACACAGCCCAGCACTCAGACCCCAGGGGCTCAGGGAACCCTAGACCCCCAGCTCCTGGCCCTCACCGTGATGGTGTGTTAGGGTTGTTGGGGTCCCAGGCCCCACTCTGGGCAGGCGTGCGGCTGCCATCATGCAGGGGCGTCTGCGAGCCGTAATGCGGGGTGCGGCTGCCTGGAACGGGGGAGATGAACCTGACCATCAGCTCTGTCCTGCCTCCAGGTCCTCCCACGTCACCCTCCGCCTTGTCCACCAGGAGCGCTCACCGTCCTGGAGAGGCGTCTGCGAGCCATACATGGGCGTGCGAGAGCCGGAGCCGTACATGGGTGTCTGGGAGCCGTACATGGGTGTCCGCCCGTAGGCTGAGGTCATGCCGCCCGGGCGCCGTGTGCCCCTGTCCACCAAGAGAGTAAGAGGGGTGAGCAGGGCCCCTAACCCCAGTGACCCCATCCTGGCCCTCCCCGGCCC